TATCTATCTATCTATCTATCTATCTATCTATCTATCTATCTATCTATTTAACCTTTGTTCTTTCTCTGTGACTATTTCAAGAACCTCTAAACTCACTAAACAACTCTGAAAGGCTTTAAATGCTGGTGTGAGGCATAGATGGTCTACACAAAGTCAGTATCCAAATTCGGTGGCCATTTTTTTGGATCTGAAGAGAGATGAATGAAAGATTGAAATGTCCAAGGAGCTGCTCACTGTGTTGGAATAACGTACCCAAAACCAGATAAATAAAACCAGCAGTACCATTGGTCATCACACTCAGAGAGGCTGGAGGCAGTTCTTGCTCTGAGATAGACCAGACTGTGCACCAGTCTCTATGTGGTACCCATGTGGTTCCCACCCTGTGTGGCATGGAAGTGGTGTGTGTTGGGGAGGGCTCCGAGCCACCCTTTTTTCTCCTCATCCTCTGTCTCTCCTCACTCGTTTCCAGTTTTCTTGCCTCCATCTTGTCCTACAATGCCTTCATTCTTCTTTCCCTTCTTCTTGCTTCCCTAGGAACCCATATGCCACCCCAAGGCACCCAGAACTCCATCTCTCACTCCCTTTTGGAGTCTCCTATACCTTGGCACTGGGGTATGGCCAGTTTCCAATGCAGTCTGTCATCTGTTCTCTGTCCTCTGTCTGTGGCTTCTGAGTCTGGAGGGTGGAGGGGTGAGTTAGAGGACAGCTGGATGCAGGCCAGTCTCCTTGGCAGTGGGGAGTTCCTCACTTGGAACTCCCTCACCTGTGTTCTCCCCACACCATGAAAGGATGTTAAACTCCTGGGCCTGGCTCACATGTCCCATTGGTTAGGTTTAGTGGAGTCTATGACTAATTGATAATTTTCCAATCCTCTTCGTAAATAAGGGGTGATGAGACACTACTTGTTTTCTCTCAGGTAGATACATTTTTTTACTTTATTTTTTCTGTTTCTTTTTAATTGTTGCCAATTGGCACATAATAACTATACATATTTATTGGTACAAATTGAGATTTTGCTGTATGTATATAAAGTGTAACAGTGAAAGGAAGGCAATTATTATGCCCATCAACTCAAACACTTATTATTTATTTAATTTTGTTATTTAACTTATGTGCTTGTGTGTATCTGTCTGCCATGTGTGCAGTACTCTCAGGGGTCAGATGTCCCAGAGATGGAGTTACAAGTGGTTGTGAGTTATCGTGCCACTGCCAGGACCCGAACCCAGGTCTTCTGGAAGAGCAGCAAGTGCTCTTAACCACTGAAGCTATCTCTTCAGTTCTGATAATTTCTTTATTTTGGGAACCTTTAAAGACCATTTGTTTAGCTATTTTGAGATACACAGCAATCATGAACTCCACTATTCCCAAATGCCAGCCTGCTCCAAGACTCATCCTGTACCTCACTGGAGCTTTGTAGCTACAAACTGATCTTTCTAGTCTCACCTCCTTAGTCCCCCTTCTAACCTCAGAAACCCATATTCTACTCTGTATTTCCTTTGTTTTTTTCCTAAAGAGCCAATATTTATTTATTCATTCCCAACATAATATTTTTATTGATTATTTGGGAGTTTCACACAATGCACCCTGATCACATGTGCTTCCCAGTCCTCCCAGGTCCACCCTCCCACCATTTGCCCTCCCTTCAAAAAGAAAAAAAATTGCCAAGTCCAATTTGTACTGTCTGTTGCCATATACTCATTGGGGTATGGACAAATTCCCAGTGGTCAGCCCTTAAAGATGACTGAGTCCTTCAGTCCCCCTCTCACCAGAAGCCGTCCACTGTGAAGAGCTACACTTCAGCATCCCTATCATGATTTTCAAGGACTCTTTTCAGTGGCTTCCCATCTAGACTCTTTCTTTCTGGGGGTGGGGAGAGAGCGTCACAGATGTCCTCAAGGTCTCTCATTCTCAACGATGAGCCTGCAGCCATTGATACCACCGTAAAAGAAGCTTCTTTACCCACAACAGCCAGCAGCAAAGACTGTAGACTTCCACATGGTTTCCAATAGCGGCATAGACTACGGACACTCACATGGCCTCTGGCTGCAGCATGGACCATGGACCTCAGCATGGTCTTCAGTGGCAAACCAAATCATGGATATCAACATGGTCTCCAGTGGCAGCCCTGATCATGGACATCAGCACGGCCTTGGGCTACTCTGTATTTCTATGAAACCAATGTGGTAAGCTTCCATGCATGAATGAGAACATGAAGCGCTTCTTTTATTTAATACAGTGTCCTTTATCTAGGTAGCCATAAAGGTCAGAATTTTATTCTTTTTCATGACTGACTATCATTCCATTGTATATATACACTACTGCTTCCTAACCCATCCATCCAGGAATGGCCACTGTTGGGGACTCTGTATACTGATTGAGCAGTGCTGCAATGAGTATGGATGACCTGGCATTTTGTCCCCTTGGCGGATGTACCTAGGGGCAAGACAGTTGGGTTACATGGCGGTTTTATTTTCAGTTTTCTGGAGCCTCCATGGAGTTTTCCACACTAACCGCATTATGTGTGAGTTTTCCATTCTCCTCATGGTGGGCGGCATTTATTGTTTATTATTTATATGTTTTGTTATTTGTTACCAGAATTTGTTGTCTTTCTATCCCGTGACAACTAGGGTGAGAAGATGCCTCATTGCGGTTTTGATTTGCATTTCCTTGGTTAGTCATCAGGATGGTGGTTTACTATAAACACGTCATGGCTGTTTATACAGCCTTTTTATGAAGTGTGTGCTCAGGTCATTTGTCATTTGGCTGGACTACTTTTAAAGCTGCTGAATATCTTAGTCCCCATATATTCTGGACCCCACTTCTTTCTCAGAAAGAACAAATTGCGCATCTTTCCCATTGTGTAAGCTGTCTTCTCATTCTTTGTTTTCTTTGCTGAGCAGACACTTTTCAGTTTGAAATGATTCCATTAGTCAATTTTTTTATTTTCTTCTTTTACTTTTATTTATTTCTTTTCTTTTTTTCTACATCAGACTGGTATCGTTACAATGTGATAACAAGGTGTTGTGGGAGACACATGCCACTCAATGGTGTCAGCATTCAAGCACCGTGCTTATGAACCCAAAAAAAGGAACTCACTTGTCATTTTTTTTTGCTTTTGTTTCCTGTGCTTTTGGAGTTTGTCATTCATTGCCTTGGGTAGGTTGTTTCCCATGTTTCATTCTTGGGACCCACATGACAGAGGGAGAGAACTGACAGTTGTCCTCCGACACACACACACACACACACACACACACACACACACACACACGATAAACAGATGCAATAAGAATCAGTCTTTGCCAACATCCTGGAGCTGACATTGGTAGCTCTGAGGTGAGTGGAGACAAGGCTCTGCTTTCATTGTTCATATGGACATCCAGTTTTCCTATCACTACTTATTGAAGAGACCATCTTTCCCCCAACACATATTTTGGCAGTTGTATTGAAGACCAGTTGTCAGAGGAAGGCACACGAATGATTTCTAAGTTTTCAAATATGTCCTATTGATATATGTGCTGATGTTCATGCTAGTGGTGTTTTGGTTTTTTATAGCTTTGCCCTATGTTTTAAAATCAAATGCTCCGATTCTTCTAGACTTTGTTTCAACCCAAGACTGATTTGGCTATTTCGCGTCTGTTATGCCTTTGTATGAATGCTAGTATTATCTTCTATAGCTCTGAGAAGAGTTATTGGTATTTTGATGGGCATTGCATTTTGCATTGAATCTGGACTTGTTTTGAATAATGGCATTTTACCACGATCAGTCCCTCCAATTCAGGATCATTTATTCCTTTTGCTTTCTTTTAGTTTCTTTCATTGGTATTTCATAATTCTATCATAGGGTCTGGATTAGTTACTTTCTTCACTACTGTGACCAAATACCTGACAAAAGCAACATAGGAAGTAAAGGTTTTCTTTTTGGGCTCACTGTTCAAGGGTACGGTCTATTATAATGGGGCAGTTGTGTTGGCAGGAACTTAAATGTCTCAGAAGAAAATTTAGGACTGTATGTAAGACATGAAGCTTCTAGAAGGAAATATAGGGGGGACTCCTTCAAGCATCAACAGGGGTGGTCAGGAAGCAGAGAGAGAGAAAGAGAGACAGAGACAGAGAGAGATACACACACATGTATATATACAGATTCTGATCTTCAGTTTATTCTCTCCCTTTTTTATTGTGAGACTCCAGCCCCTGCAATGGTGCCACCCACGTTAGGATTGACTTTCCCAGCTCAATTAACCCACTCTATAAATGCCCTCATTGACATGCCCAGCGGTCTGTCTCTTAGGTGATTCTGGAACCTGCCCAATTGGCAGCCAGTATCAACCACCACAGAGTTCTTTACTCACTTGGTAAACTTTATCCTAAGTGTCTTATGGTTTTTCTTTTCTTTTTCTTTTTTGGGTGAGAGTATGAATGTAACTTCTTAATTTTTCTCCTATGTATGTTTATTATTGGTGTGTAAAGATGCTAATTCTGTAACGCACCATTTTATGGAGAAGGAAATCGTAACCTTGGAAGGAACATTGACTCACAAGCCATAAATTGCTCTGTCATGTTGCAAGCAGCTCAGGCACTCTTTGCCCAGAACCTAAGCTGTTTATGAGGAGAACGAGCACAGAATATGAAAATGAGCTCAGGAGAAGGGTGTGAGCACAGTCCTGTGGATTCTCCACAAATTAGTTTCTTTTGTGAACTGGTAATTCTGCAGCAAACTTGGTTCAGTTCCCCAAGCAAGCTACTCTGTTCCAAAGCTGAGGAGACTGTTGGGGCCATCTTGCCTTTCTAATTCCAAGTCTGGTTTCTTCTCAGTTCTCAGAAGGGTCATCTTTGCTGGAATTCTGTGTGTCTGTGGAGTCAGCCCTGTTACTTCCTGTGTCCACTCCATTTTGATTCTATGACAACAGTGTAACTTGCATTCGTCTGTACATTAGATTTTCATTAGATTTTCTAAAATGTTAGGGAAGGCAGGGAATTGATTTGTCTTCTTCAGCGTTCTTCTCTTAGTACCTTGTTGAGTAAGTGAGTAAGTTTAAAACCTGGTGGTGAGGGCATGTGGAAAAAAAATGAAGGCCAATGGTTAGAAAAAGGGCAAGGAGTGAGGGGGATACCATCTTGAAAATACACTTTTATTTATGTGCATATGTGTGTCTGGGTGGGTGTATGGCATCTGTGTGCAGGTGCCCAAAGAGGTCAGAAGAGGCTGTCAAATCCCTGGGGCTGGAGGTGGCTCTGAGCTAACCTGACATGGGCCTGGGTCTGATCTGGGTCTTCTGAAAGAACAGTGAGTGCTTATAATAGCTGAGCCATCAGTCCAGTCTTGGTCACAGGTTTTGTAGAACCGATTATATGGAAAGTGTCCTGTGATGGTTAGCTGATAATACACGCTCACCAGAAAGGGCCTTGTGGGTGGTTTGCCCAGGTCACTGACAGCACTGTGAAAATTTCCTGAGCCAGACTTCCAGTCTTCTGCATTGTGCAAAGACCATCGTATATTTCTCTGTTAATCTTTTGTTCATTTATTTTGTTTTTGATACTACTTTGCTCTATTTGAAGGGTTGGCGCAAAGTACAAAACCTAGGTGAGCACTTTGGCACAGCTTATAGAAATGATACAGATAACTCCCAAATCTCTTGATCTTTACAGCCGGTCGGTATTGCAGCTTCCGTTTTTCTCCCAGGTGAAGAACCAGAGATTCAAATGGTGTGTAAATTTCTAAGCTCGCTTGACTGGTAGATGACAAAGTGCACTCTGAGGCTGGGCTTCCCCCAGATCACTGTGCCGTGTGGCCTTGTGTGTCCCTCTAGGCTGAGGGTCTCTGGTGTGAGCTTGTGGCTCCAGAGCTGGCCATTGTGCCTGTGGCCCCTATGATCCGTATGTATGTATGCATTCCAAATCTCTCCCCTATGAGCTCTTTCTTTTAAAATAAAGATTTACTTTTTTTTTTTTTTTTAGTTTTTTTGAGACAAGATTTCTCAAAAACAGCCTTGGCTGTTCTGGAACTCACTCTGTAGACCAGACTGGCTTCAGCCTCAAACTCACAGATCTGACTACCTCTGCCTCCTGAATACTGGAATTAAAGGTGTGAGTCATGCCACCTGGCTTAAAAATATTTTTTTATGTGGGCAAGTATTAATGTATCACATGCATGCAATGTGCTTAGAGGCCAGAGGACAGCCCTGAATTCACCAGAATTGGAGTTACAGATGGTTGTGAGCCATCATGAGGGTGCTGGGAACTGAACTGGGGTCCTCTGCAAGAGCAGCCAGTGCTTTTAACCTCTGATCATTTCCCCATGTTTCTATTCTCTCCTTTAATTCTTTGGGTAACATAGGAAGTGAGCGATGGATGATGTTTTCCTCATTTGGAAGACATGAACAGAGGACCGTTTATCTCCAAGAGGAGCAAGGACCATGGGGGAAGCTTATGTTTCAGGACACGACTGGGTCCTCCGTGAAGTGACTGGGGGTGGGAAGATTGAGGGCAGTGATTTTGATGAATTTTTAGCCTATTCTAATATTGCAACTATAGGAATAAGGTAACCAGAGAGAGTTCCCAGAAGAAAGAGAGAACAGGTGGGGCAAGGGTGATCATTCTTGACGGACTCCTCTGCTGAGCTCTTGTCTTACTCCAGCCTGTCTTCCTTGATTACTCTGCACACTTTACTACAATGGGACTCTTTGGGGAACTCACATCCATGTTGGAGGCTGAGAAAAATCCTGGGAGGAAACCACTTCCCATAGTTGCTTCAGGTTTACATACTGGTATGACTTTCTGGGACTCAGCTAGGCTTTCCTCAGTTGTACCTGGTATAAAAATGACTGACTTCCTCCTCTTTCTCAGAAATGACGGAACCAGTGTGTTTGAGCCACTCTTAGGGATTCTCAGCTCAAATCCCAGCACTTGGGAGGCAGAGGCAGGCGAATCTCTGTGAGTTCCAAGCCAGCCTGGTCTACAGAGTGAGTTCCAGGATGGCTAGGACTGTTACACAGAAAAATCCTGTCTTTAAAAACCAAAACAAACAAACAAAAAAAGTGAAAGCTGGGCTGATCACTGGAATTGGCTTTCCCTGGGCCCTTGGGCTTCTTAGCTAGTTAGCCTGAGGGTCTACTTTCGGAAAGTGGCTTCTCCTACCGTCTGGTGACTGATGACAGAGATATTACCCCTAGGATCTTAGTATGTAGAGTCAGTGTTTCCGACCCTCTGGGTAGAGAGGCTCGGTACTACCTGAGCTATGTTGGGATGCGCGGAAAACTTCTTAATGACTGAAAGTCAAGAGGAGAGACATCTTTGGGCCTCAGCTTCCTTGCCTGTCAAAGGACATGTGATACGCATTTGTACTATTCAGGACATCAAGGGCACTAAACCCAGGGCTGTGAGGGGTGGTCTTACAGAGCTGCCCATCTGAACCCAGGGCTTGTTGTTGCTGTCAGTGTTGGCCCCGATGAGGGAGCTTGAATGAGATCATCTGTGTAACCCCAAAGGCTCAACACCCCTCCCACATTCCTGATAGACGGTCTTGGAAAACATGGCGGAGTGACAAGAAGCTTTCAGGAGCAAATGACCAGCAGCCGTTTTATTAGGGCAATTCTTGGGATGTCACACAGGGAGCTTGGATGGGGAAGAAGGTTAATAAGTAACTTATGTGACAAAAGGGGCAAAGTCTGGATTCAGCCCATATCTTTTGGGTTGCTTTTGTCTCTCTAGCCTGGGTATCTGAGCCTCTTGAGGAGACTTCGCTTTGGTTAGTGGAGTTTTCCTGTGCCCATCTTCATTCTAACATTGGATGGGGCTTCCCAGGGCTGTCAAACAAATTCACAGGAACTTCAAGTCCTCCATGTGCAGCTGGGGCAGCTAACGCTTGGGACCCCTCATCCCTGTTCATTCTCCTGTATCCACCACCCCATCCTGCTCCATGCTAGTTGATTTTGTTGCACTAGTGGGTGTGCAGGTGGAAACAACAGTATTCTGTGAGACAGGGGACTGCTCTCCTTCAGGGAACCCCCCCCTCATCAAATAGCCTGAGGGAGGATGGGCCAGAGAGAATAAGAACTGGCCAGAGTCTCTGCTTAGAAACCCGACTCAGGTTGTGTCATCTCTACCAGATAATTCTGATGTTTCTACTTAAAATTCAGTCTTGTACCCCCATTTGGTTGACGAATCGACCCTGATTTTTTGTCTATTTTGCATGTTTATCAAATTTATTTGCTCTGTCTTCCTTTCTAGAGAACCCTTCAGGAGAGTAAAGGCCACAGGCACTCCCAAATGCGTAGAGCCAACTTGACATATGGAGGGTGTTTCAGGAATGTATAGGGAAGTGTGTGTGTGTGTGTGTGTGTGTGTGTGTGTGTGTGTATACATTGTATTGGTAGGAAAACAGAAAGATGAGGAGAGCCACAGTATCACATGAGGGGGTGGGAGGGTGTCTCAGTGTACCTGACCTGGGCTCTAGTCAATGCTGGCTGCCCAGATATCGATCACAGGAACCTGCCCTGGCTGTCAGAGAAGGCAGTAATCCCTGTTGTGGGCCCTGACCCATGTATAGCCTACTGTGGGCAGGTTTCCCTTCATGGCCCACCCATCATCCCATGCAGCTGCACAGTGGGTTTAGCTTTATCTTGGCTGAAAGACTCCAAAACTTAACCAGGTGAAGTCATTTGCCAGAGAGACTTGAGCCTCTTTTCTGAGTGGTGTGGCCCTCCTGTGATCTGTCTGGCTCTGCCCAGTGACCTGCCATGGGCAAGCCTCTTACATTTTTCTTCTGTAGTTGGGGTCCTCATCTATAAATAGGGATTTTGCCAGAACCAGGAGTGGACTGCTTTTAACAAGCGGCTATTCTGGAATGCTATTCCCAGGCCATGGAAGTAGTGCACCATGGGGGACACTGGAAGGTGCCAGGATCACACTGTGTCCCCTCATACACTGTGGGAAAGGCAGGTGCTTCCAATTCCTGAAGGTCTCAGAGGGAACACCACCTACACAGGGGCCAAGGGTTAAGTATCCTGATCACTATGGTTGGGCAGGGCACCATCTAACAACCCTACGCTGGGGCCTGGATAACAAAGAAGCCCCTCCCTAGAAGGCAGCTGGGCTTGTAGGGCATACAGCCATCTGTTATATAAGGGCTCTCCCCACACCTGCTCCAACATACTGCCAGGATCCACCTTTCTCAGGACAGTGTCCCTGACTGGACCCAGAAGGTGAGGGGACTCGGAGTCTGGAGCCTGACGTTGGGAGAAGCTGAATCCTGGGGCAGGCGTGGCATTGAGGGAACTTAGGCTTGCTCTGGCTAGTGTTCAGGGTGTTCTCGAGGTTCTTTACTGCCAGTGCTGTCCACTGCTGCCCTGTTCTCATGGTGGGCAGGCCGGAGTAGAGATTGGGGTTTGCGGGTGTGTTTGCTTGGCATTCTGTTGTCCGTATGGCTGGTGTCTCTGAGCTCCGGCTTCCCTGGCAGATGTGAGCAATGTGGCAGTATGGCAGCATGCTGTCAGCGCGCTGGAAGATTTAATAACAGATTGTTGCAAAGCAGGGAAGGGACTGGAGATGCAGCTCAGTTGGTAGAGTGCTTGTCTAAGAAGCAGGAAGTTCTGGGTTCGATCCCTAGCACTTCATTATGTGGGTATGGTGGCACATGTCTGTCATCCCAGCACTCAGGAAGCAGAGGCAGGAGGATTAGAAGTTAAAGATCATCCTTGATTATGTAGCCAGTTTGAGGCTAGCCTGGGCTACATGAGACCTTGTTCTTCTGGCAAAAGGAAGTGATTAACAGGCCTCATGTCCCACCACAGGATTGTCTCTGCCTCTCTGCTGTCTGCTAGCCAGGTCCTGACTTCTCTGGGTTTGAAATAAGACTCGCCATCAGGCTGGCAGGAACCGAGGTGATCTGTGCAGTGAATGTCCTTTTGTGGTTGCTTCTCCCCCAACTTCTGTCTCCCTCCCCCTCCTCCTGCACAGTGACAATGCTCTAGAGGTCTTTCCCCAGCAGCTGGGGTTCCAGGCCTGGAGGGCTGTCTTGGTATACGGAGGAATATGTATCTGAGTGCAGAGCTGTGTGTCACATACTCTACATAAGACAAACTCGATTTGCCCTCTGGGTTTCTAAACCGTGTGGTCACTGGGAATGCATACGGGTTTTTGTCTCTTGACTGGGCTAGCTTCCCTTATTTTTTACTAGTCCCTAGTCAGTCAACCAGAAGGCCACGCTGCTGTGCGTTCTGTGTGGTGGGATGTGTGTTTGATCTGTGGTACGGGATGGAGCAGGAAGAGGGGTATCCTGAGAGAAGGTCAGCTTTGCGTCAGTCTGTGGCAGCTGTCATGGGGCAGTCAAGCTTCAGAGTGGGCCCAATGGTGAGCCTGGCTGCTTCTGCTTCTGCCAGAGGTTGCATGTCTGTTGGGTGGAGACACCAACCTGTCTTCAGGCAGAACTATTCACTGGGGCTCCACGGGATACAAGTGTTCTGTCCGCCATGGTTAGTGGCAGCTGCTCGGCACATGTGACCGCTGACCATTGGAACAGTGAGCAGTTCCTGTGCAGAGGGACAGGTGCATCGTTGCCTACCTTGAGTGAGTTAACCTAAAGAGCCACATTGGCTATGGCTGCCATTTATAGGGTAATAAGATTATGATCAAGGAGAGTTCCATGCAAATGTTTGCTTCCCATGCTGTATTGCTTCTCAGACAAAGAGAAATTCCTTGAGCTGAGAATTAGGATCCTAACAAATGTGGCAAAAACCTAGCAAGCCCCAAAGATCTAATTCAGATGATTGGCAGGTAAGGAAGGCCAGGTACTGAGAAATTGGTGCTGCATTAATCTAACTCAGGAGCTTCGATGCGTTCAGGCCCTGGCTTCTGAGGTGTGGCACATGAGTTGGATGGCAGAACGGAGTAAGAATGAAGGGTCTGTATTGTATCCAAGCTCTGAAGCCCCCAAGAGTAAGAGTTTAGTTCTGAGAGCATCATTTCTCTCTTCTAGGGTTCAGTCTTGTCCAGGTGCTAAGAAATTACTCAGATTAGTGCATGTACAGGACTTGGAGTAGAGCAAGGGCCCACAGGTATCTGCATAGGTAGTGGCCTCAAAGCCCCTGAGCATCAAAGTGAATGCAGGAGACCCCTGCAGGGAGAAGAGACAGTGTACTCTGGAGGGGTGGGAGGACACAGATCCTGTGGCAGGGGAGATAAGGGACCCAAGGGAGGTGAGGAGGACACAAAACCCAGGGTCACTGTCTTTATCTGGGACCCTGTTAGGATTTGGATCTCAAATATACCACAAAAACCTGGTCATTAGCTGCGGCTCTATAGTGAGATGCTGGAACCTTTAGGAGGGTGGGCTGGGAGGAGGAAGTTAGCTCATTGAGGGAGATCCTGAGACACACTCCTCTTTCCTGGTCACTCCCTGGCTGCATTAGGTGACCAGACCTCCTTCGTCATGAACTTCCATGAAGGCCCGCGTGATGGGGCAAAGTGACTGACACCTCTGAAGCCATGAGCCTTATAAATCGATTATCTCAGGGATTTTGTCATAGTGACAGGAATCTGACAGACATGTAAATCAGTCACAGCAGACCTGGAAATTGCTCTGTCTGCCCATTTGCAGTTGAAACTCAACCTTGTGTCAGGCAGGACGGATGAGAGTCACAGTTCTGTGGACCCGTGCAGGACTGAGTTTTCTGCCCCAGAAACAAGGACAGACCGCGTACTAAGCTTGTTTCAGTGTCTTTCAAACACTTTTGATGGTAGGCATTCCATCAAGATCCTGGACTGTCTTTCCAGGTTTGAGGCTCCGTGGCCCCATCCTTGGGAGAAGCCAGATCCACCATCATGAAAGGCATCCTCATTGCTGGTGTCTTTGCGGCATTTGCCATCACAGCTATAGGTGAGAAAAGCCCCCTTCTGGATAAAGTCTTCTTTCCCACCACATCAGAGCATCCTTGCTCTTGACATCCTGGTACATACTACCAGGCCTGTTGTGTTGTGTGAGACCCATGTGTCTACTCTGCCTTTAGAGTGATCACTCTGCTGGTGGTCAGGATTTGTTCTTCCTGTTGATGGCTGGTGAATAATGGAAAGAAACTAGTGGGCATTGCTCTATCTCATAGCATCAGTTTGGGGATCTTCAGAGGACAATTGGGTATCCCATCTGGATCTTTTTTCCTGTGGTGGGTGTGGTGCTCTGGGAATGTACATTGGTTGTTGACTTCTGTGAATGCTTTCTCCCCTCAGATTCCCTGAATTGTAGACAGTGTCCCTCAACCGTTGAGGACCCAGAGAGCTGCATCGATGAAGCCACTCCATGTGATGACGAGAACGCTGTGAGTTGTGTGGAGTCCTCGGTCAACTCCACTCTAGGTGAGTGGAGCTGCCTCTACCTCTGGGACTTGTGGGATGTGTTAAGAGGGTGGGCACGAGGAAGACATCTGAGTTGGGGCTGTGCTGTGCTGTGCAGTGAGACTAGTGGGTCGTGAAGGAGACTCCCCAGTGGCTGAGGTGAGCAGGGCTGCATGTTTATACAGGCACAGAATCAAACAATAGGATAAGCCCTGTGGTGTATTGGAAATCAATCCCACTGATCAAAACTTCACTGTAGATACATTATTTTTTTTGGTAGATGTAGACAGCAAGAGCAACTCAGAGTCAAATAAGAGGCAGGTATTTTTCCTGGGACATATACTTTTTTCAGCCATCTCTTCTTTCAGTCTCCTGGCTCCTTTCTCTTCTAGATCAAATATATTTTCCTTGGTGAACTCCTCCCCAGGCATTCTGACTGATGGGAACCTCTTGAGGCACTTAGAGTTCTTCCATACACAAAATCTGGACAGGCAACAAATTGACATCTAAACCTTGCAAGGCCTTAGTCAACAATGGGGCTCAGGAGATTGGTCAATCAATAAGGTACTTGCCACACAAGCAGGAGGACTTGAAGTTGTCCCTCAGCATCTATTTAAAAAGGCCAGGCATGGCAGTCCATGTCTGTAATCTCAGCAGTGGGGCAGCCAAGACAAGATGATTCCTGGAGCTTGCCAGTCTAAAACTGGTGGGATCCAGATCAGCTCAAGAGCCTTTACCAAAAAATAAGTCAGAGAGTCATTGAGAAAGTCAGTTTTGATCTCTGCCTCTTGAATGCTAGAATTGCAATGATATGGTCAACTAACTTTATTTAATGTTTTTTGGTGTTTTTTTTTTGTGGTTCTGGACATTAAATCCAGGGCTTCGCATATGCCAGGCAAACACTCTACCACAGAGCTACACTCCCAGTTCCTCAATTTATTTTGACCAATCCACATTTGACATAACAGCCACATATAGCTTATGTCTCCACACTGGGTAGCTCTGATTGGGCTCTCATGCAGTTTCTAGAAAGGAGCCATAGATGGTACTGTGATGTTGTATCATATACCAAATCCCACTGTGCCTGCTTTATTATTTTTTGAGCTGTTAAGACAAATTAGTGGCCTGAGAGGGCTGTATATGTCTTAGACTAAACCACCATCTTCTGGTGTCCCTCCTGAGTAACATTTGTACCCAAACTTTTGATGTAATAATGCATTGTCACCCACAAAGTTCATGTTCAAGAATTGAGAGAGGTGGTTTAATAGAAAAAAATTGTGAAAACTTTCAAACATGTGTTAAGTAAGTTTACAACTTTGTGCTGGGTCTCATTTACATCTCTCCTGGCTGCATGCCCACATGAGGTTTGCGAGGTGTAGGTTAACTAACGACAAAGTTTAGCCCATTCCTCTGCTAATATGATGAAAGAAGGAGTTCTCTATGATGGGAAAGGGCTTTCTTTTTGCTCTCCCCCCACTCCCTGCCCAGGATAAGGTATCACTATGTAGCCCTGACTGTACTGGAACTCACGATATAGATCAGGCAGACCTCGAACTCACAGAGATCCACCTGCCTCTGTCCCAAGTGCTGGGGTTAAAGAGTGCACCACTATGCCCCACTGGGTTATTCACGTTTTAAGAAACCTTCTGCAGTCTCTCCTAAGATGTGCTGAGGAGGTTCAAGTCAACTGCTCCTATATGAAGCACTGTCTCCTCCAGATGCTGCTCTTGCTGGAGTCTCTTCAGATGCTAACAGTCTGTGTTTGCCTTGATGTAGGAGGAGGGTCCTTGAACTCATACGAGCACAAGTTCTGCTCAAAAATTAATTGCATCAACAGCAGCAACAGTATTGTAGTGTCCTTCACGGTGCGTGTGTCTGATGATCAACAATTCAGTTTTGCAAGCCAGTGCTGCCAAGAAGATGCATGCCCTGGCAATGAAAAAGGTTTGTACTGGGCCCAGCAGCCTGTCCTGTGTCACACCTCCATGCTCCACCCTTGATTTTCTGACTGCTTTGCTTGGCTGGTGATGGATGTGCCAAGACCAGGCACTTCAGTACACAGGTAGATGACATCGACATCTGACTTATCACAATCACAAAAGAAACGCAGAAGGTACTCAGCCAGCCCAAATAGCATGCTTTCTCCTTCTTCGGCGAAGATGCGGATCTCATTTGTGTGGCAAGTGAATCAAGTGCTCATTAGTCATTCTTAAACTTTGTGATCTCAGGGCCTCAACCACCAGTTTCTTTTAGATAGTATCTCCTGCAGTCTAGGCCCACATCAAACTTGCTATGGAGTGAAGGATGATCTTCACCCAGTCCTCTTGCCTCTGCCTCCTGAGTGCTGGGATTGTAGGTGTGTGCCTGTAATATATACATATAATATATAGGTGTGTGTTTCAGTAACAAGAGAAACTCCCCAAGTCTTTTGTTTATATGGTCACTACCTGCTGACATTTACTAGGTTAGAAATTAAAGTGAAACAAATTCACAAATCTTAATTCATTTACTCAAAAGCAAAAATATTTAGCCAGACACGGTGGCACATGCCTTTAATCATAGCACTCTGTGATAGAGAAAGAGACAGAGGAATCTCTATTAGTTCAGCGCCAGTATGAGTTACATAGTGAGACCCTGTCTCAAAAAACAAAAACAAATAAAAAGTTTATTAATACTAATAGAGTTTTACAAAGAAATAGCTTCCAAAAAGGATTTAATAAGATAAATGGCATTGTTCCACATATATGCCTATATGTACATACATGGATATAAATTAAAGATTCATTTATTTTAATTTTACATGTATGAGATTGTACGTATGTGTACCATGCATGTGAAAAGCCCACAGAAGCCAGAAGAGGGTATCAGATCCTCTGGAGCTGCCATGTGGTGACTGGAAACTGAACCTGGGAATTGAGCCTGTGCTTCTTCTAATTGCTGAGATATCTCTCTAGCACTTCACCCTCAAATATATATTTTGAAAGAATGTTTTAACTTATAACTTAGAAGGAAGATGGGATCTCATGTTTGCTTGTATATTTAGTCTTATTTAATCTCATGAATAATGTGGGGCTTCTGGAAAATTCTGCTGCATGCACACAAGGCAAAAGGAGTAAAAGGAACAGATAACACCTCGATGTTGTATAAAATCGGTTTTAACGTTTTGTGATCCTTGCAGCGCCACAGGGATCCAGGAGTTCCTGGAGTGCAATTTGAGAAGTGGTCATCTATGTCAAAGTCTTCATTTAGAACCATTGTTCTTAATCTGTGGGGCATGACCACCAGGAAAAAACATATTTCTGATGGTCTTAGGAACCCCCGACTATAAATTAATTTTTGTTGCTACTTGATAATTGTAATTTTGCTACTGAGTGGTGTCCCAGTTCCTAAGACCGTTGGAAATATGTTGAGAATTGCTGATTTAGAAGAAGAAAAATAAGTGGCAGAGATGGTGAAGTTCATTATCACAAGCACAGACAGTTAGGTGCAAGGCTGGTTCTCAATGTGATTTTTTTTTATTTTTATTTTTTGTTTTCTTCTCTATTACAATATGAAAATAGACCTTGTTCATATGCTCAGGACAAGTCTTAGTGCCAATCAGATACCTGTTGGCTAATACTTCAAACATCTGGCTGGCACTGACATTGGCTACAGCTTGGATTCTTTCCTTTCTTGCTCATGTAAACCCCAGAGCACTGTGGACCACAGTTCTTGCAGACTGGCTGCCCCATAAGGGTGGGCCTCAGGGGTTGTGCATAGGAAACATTTGGACAAAGCATGTATCTTTAGGGATAGATCTGAGCTTCCCAGTGGCAGACCCTCTGGCAGCTTCTCTGCCTGCCTTTCTCCTCCTCCCCAGGGCAGTGTGATGACATGATTCTAAGTAATGGCTTTCCTTTATCCAGGCCCTGAAGAAGGGAATGAACCTGCTGCTCGCGCCAACACCCAAATCCAGTGCCCTTCTTGCTATAGCAACGGCACAACAGATTGCAAAGAGACCATCCAGTCGTGTTCCCAAGGAGAGCGATGTGTCCACATCATTGCTGTCAATGGTAAGTCTGGGGCTTCAATTCCTTAACAGGGCTGGAGCTGAAACACATCAGGCCTTGATTCAGGTGCTGAGATAAAAAAGCAAAAGGACTGGGAAGGATAGTAACAGAGCAGGGATTAGCTCAGGATGTCTTTCAGCTAGAGACTGCCATGTGTAAACTGAGACTGCTCTATTTCCTGCCCTCCCAGATCTGAATAATCACACAGAAACTATATTAAATACAACACCGTTTGGCCAATGACTCAGGCCTATTTCTAGCTAACTCTTACATCTTAAAGTAACCCATGTCTATTAATCTGTTTATTGTCATGAGACTGTGGCTTACTGGTAAGGATCTGGTGTCTTTATCCTTCTGCAACTACATGGTGTCTCCCTGACTTCATCTTCTTTCCTCCTCTGTCTCTGTTTTGATTTTCCATCTTGCTATATTCTGCCCTGCCATAGGCCAAAGCATCTTCTTTATTAACCAGTGCTAATAAAACATATTCACAGCATACAGAGGGGAATCCCACATCAGCCAGAAAGCCTTCTGCTGGTCACCACTTCTGCTCTTAGTCCAGTACTACTTCTGGTTGCCTTTCTCCTGCTTTCCTGTGATTAAACCCCAGGCTCACTTATCTGACTTCATGACCCTCTGGCACATGGTTTGGTACTAGGATGCCATTGCTCAGTAAGAGTGAATAGGTGTGATTTTAATTTGTGTGTGTGTGTGTGTGTGTGTGTGTGTGTGTGTGTGTGTGTGTGCGTGTACGTGCGCTCGCGTGTGTGTATATGTATATATGTTTCTTCTATTTCTTGAGAGGTGTTGGCTTGGGGCAGCTAGGGCCATCTGGTTATTTCGTTTTTTTTTTTCTACAAAAGTAATCTGACAGTGCTACCATTTTGTCAGAGTATCCACCCTATCTGGTGGCAGCATGCAATGCACATTTGCTTTTTGCTAGTGGAACAGTCCTGGGGCCACTACTACCCTGTAGCTGTGTCCTTATTTTCTGAGGACAGAGTAGATCTCTATTTTGCTACTGGTTGTTTGTGATGGGTATAGGGGGTTAGGGGCAGAAGGTGGGGGAGGGGGAAGAAGGCAGGGGCGTAAGGCTACTCAGAAGTTAGGTCTGGAAGTGAATGTGTAGTGTCCTTCTATAGTACATTGGGTGGAACCAATGTGTCCATCCTGGCTAGTGGAACTCTTGGGAATGTGATCTAGTGACTTCCAAGAGGGAAAAAAGTGGTACAAACCAAAAATGAATAACTAGCCTGTCTCACCTAAAACACAGCTCAGACTAAAAGGGTTTAAGGCTTGCACCCAAACACAAATTTCATTTCAATTTTTGCTTGTCAACTTCAAAGCCTACCTATAACCATGGAGTTTCCAGTGGATCCAAGCCTCTATAGATTATCTTATTCCAGAATGTCTGTTCTCTCCCTCTCACTTTCTCAGTATCTCTGTGTTTAAATGTCTCTCTTTCTTCTCTATCCCCTGGGCCCTCAAACATGCAAAACATACATTGTACCTCTGAGTTAAACCACAGCAAAAAGTCACTTTCCTTGAAATGGTTGAAGTGCCCACACTGCCCTGGTTTTTAATTCTAAAGTTGTGCCTAAAGGCAGCAAAAGATCTCTGTTCATCTCATGCCCGAGTCTCCTGGTGGTGTCATCTCATTGACACTAAAAGTCAGAAGGTCACAAATTTTCTTTATTGTTTTGTTCAACATCACATTCAAATTCCTATCAAGATGTGTGTAGCACCGCACTTCCTGACTCAGGTTAGCTCAACTCTCAGCACTGATACTTGGGATGAAACAACAACAAACTTTTCTTTCTGAGGTCTGGAGATCTCTTTCACACATTTTGTTCCAACAGAACCAACTTCCTTCATGCCTCTGGGAGCTCCCTGATTCCCAGGGATGCTTGAGTTGCAACTGACAGACCCATTGAGGCACAACCACTCAGAAGTAGCTGCCATTGTGACTACATCTTTGAAAGTGTTTTTTATCATTTTTTAAAATTATGCAAACCAACCACAGTTTCTCCTCCCTCCTCTCCCTCAATTCCCTCATCCCACCTCCCATCTACCCCTCCCCCATCTACTCTTCTTCTGTCTCCATTCAGAAGGTGCAAGGCCTCCCATGAGAATCAATAGAGCATGACATATCAAGTTGAGGCAGAATCAAGCTCCTCCCTCACTGCATCAAGGCTGAACAAGGCTTCCCACCATAGGGAATAGGTTCCAAAGAGTCAGTTCATATACCAGGGACAGGTCCTGGTACCACTACTAGGGCCTCATAAAAGACCAGCTACACAACTGTCAACCAGAAGGCCTAGGTCAGCCCCACGCAGGCTTTCAAGCTGTCTGTTCAGAGTTCATGAGCTCCCCCAAGCTCAGATCAGCTGGATGGAGACCTTTTTCTACAATAAGAAACTGTGTAAGCAGGCAGAACTAAGAGGTAAGATAGAGACGCTGAGCATTTCCTGTACACTTTCTGTTGACTTTCCTTTTTCTCAAGGAAAACTCAAGCAAAAAAAAAATCAGATCCAGAGGAATGAGAACTGAGGGAAATACTGGAATCAGGGCTGGAGCCCAGGGTGCCCACTGATTCATTCCCTTCTGAATGGAGAGTTGAAAGAACTGCCCCTGAGCCTGTTACCCAGGCTTGCCTTTTTTTCTTCCCCCCCCCCCATCTTCCTCTCCCTCTTCCTTTTTCTTTCATTCCCCCTCCTCTGTGTTTTTCTTGATTGAGTCTTGCTACACAGCTGAGGTTAGCCTTGAACTCATGATCTTCCTGATACAGTCTCCCAAGCACTGGGCTTGCAGGTATGTACCACCATACCCTGTTTGTTCTTGGCTTTTTCATCTGACAGCTCCACAGGAACACAAGACAAGGGGCATCCAAGATCCAGCTCCCATCCTTTCTTTAAGCCTGGATTAGCAACCCACATCTCACAGTCTCAGTTGCTTTTGGGGTTGGGTGGGGAGGGGTCTGACTTCTGACCTTCATAGTTCTTGTACTGCTACTGTTTGGTATTCTTAACTCTGGACTTCTTCCTTGAAGTTGGCTGTCAGAAGAGGAGCTCAACGGCTTGCAGATAAATAACTCTGCATGGGCTGGGGTTTTGGTGGTAGGGTTGTATAGAGTTATAGAGTTCTGACTTCTCATTTGCATCTTCAGGCGACGTTCATACCGAAGTGGAACTGAAAGGGTGTTCTAATATCAGTGAAGCTACCTGCGACATCCTGACTCCTGGGAATGTAACAGTTGGAGAATTCACTTTCCAGACGGTTAACTGCACAAATGAGATTACAACCACGACCCCAACCACAGTCACCACGACCCCAACCACAGTCACCACGACCCCTGATAGCAGCACAAGCATCAAAGCTTCCATCATCTCCTCTGTCTTCGGCAGCCTCCTTCTTCTGAAGCTGCTATTCTGAGGTCCCTGGGCTCTGCCCCACCCAGTGTCCCATGGGCGTCAATGCCCTTTCTGTTCACATAGCTTCCAGTTTAGTTGCTCAGTGGGTTGGAAGTCACAGGACTCCAGGCAATGCTAGCAGCCACATTATGTCCTTTATTAAAGTGTTGTTTGACTTCTAGACAGTCTGTCCTGATATGTTCGGTGCTGGGTGTCGTTCAAGACCCTGCCCACCTCTTCTCGTCTTGCCTGGAGGAAGGGTCTTTGCTCTGGAGATAGAAGCTTCTTTGCCTAGGACTCAATGATATCCCTGCTCCTGGTCCATATTGCTGCTGAGAAGCTGAACCTGGGGCCTTGCTGGCACCTTCTGTTAGCATCCCTGTACTCCAGCATTCTACTTGCTACTCCTTGTGCAGGCACATGCAGGAGTTGCCCCAGCTGAGCCTTGTTGTGCCCTGTGCTGCTCCTAGTACCAACACAGAAGTTCAGCAGCCTTTCAGTCTGGTACGGCATCATGACATCTGCTTATTCAGCAGTTGTCCAGACACCCACAGCAGATGAAGAAAAATGTCATCCCAGAGGCCTGTCACTATGAAGGCCCAAGAAGGGCAAGCCAAAGGCCTGCAGAAGACCAGACTGCTCCCGCTGGCTGCATGATCAAATCTCCAGGAAGATAGAGGAGAGAGGAGCTCAGAACCTGGGATTAGGAGTTCTCCTGCAGTACTGTGCAGGATGGAGTGGGTTGCAGAGTCCTGGTCCCTTCAAACAGAGAGTTAAACCTGATCCTCCATTCCACATCAGACACCCAGGGGACCAGACAGCCACTCAGACCCAGGCTTGCAGGGTTCAGGTTTAATAGTAAGGTGGGCGTTGAGCTAATTTTGGATAAATGGGGTTTTCTGCAATAAAGAAATCAAAAGGTGTAAGCCAGCAAGGGTCTTTATTGTAAAGAGTATTTGACAATGACACAAGAGCAAACCACCATGAGGGTTATGATGGTACATATCGCTGCATCCACTCTGGTTTACCTTAGCTCTTAAAAAAACTATTTATTTCTACTATTTCTGTGCACGTGGTGTGTGCTCACAAGTGTACAGTGCTCTCAGAGGCTGGAAGGGGGTGCTGGATCCTCCGAAGCTGGAGTTATAGGTGATGTTACAGCCTGATGTGACTGCTGGGAAGAAAATCCAGGTCCCCCACAAGAGCAGCAAGTACCCCCTCTTATGCAGTGAGCAGTCTCTCCAACCCACCTTAGCTCTTTATTTTCAGTTTCATGTTTACCTAAAAGTTACAAAACCAGGAAGGCTTGAGAATGCCTTCACCTGGTGCTCCAGTTTTCTGTCTGTTGCTGAAATAACATAATCTCACAAAAAGAGCTTAGGAGACGAAGGGCTTAGTTCAGCTCACAGTTCCAGGCTACAGTTCGTCACTCAGGAGAAGCCACAGCCTCAGGAGTCACACGGTGTCCACAGTTAAGGGCAGAGAGCATTCCTTGCTGACCTTGATTTCCTCTCAGACAGTTTAGGACCCTGTGCCCATGGGGCACCACCCACAGTGGGATGAATTTTCCCATATACTTAATGAAGACAATCTCCCCTACTACAGGACATGCCTCCAGGTCAACCTAATGTAGACAAACCCTAACTGAGACTCTCTTTCCAGGTGGTCCTAAGTCAAATTGATGGTTAAAGCCAATCATCCTACTCCACCTCTTGACAACTGGTCATGCAACACAACTCTTTTAAACCATAATCTTCCACTTTTAAAGATTTTTATTTTTATGTTTTGCCCACAAGCATGCCTGTGCACCATGTGAATGTCCCCAGAGCCTCCTGAAGCCAGGAAAAGACACTGGATTCTCTGGACTTACAGACAGCTGTGTACTATCACAGGAGCAGCAGCTACTCTGACCCCAGGATAGCTCATTTCGTCTTCCATTTTAGATCTGTTTCTCCAACCAACAGAAGTGACAGAAACGCACAGAGGGAAACACAGAGAGACACATAGTAAGGATAACCCAGGGTGGCCACCACACAGTCTTGAGCCAGGGAACTCTGGTGGCTTCTCGTGCAGAGCCCAGACACTAGGGCTGGGCCCACCCTATGCAGAAGGTACCATAAACACGTACCTCCAGAAAGGACAGATCTGGTGACTGTTTAGGGTGGAGGCATCTGGAGCAGAGGTGGGAGAAGTTCCTGGGGCCCTGGAATGTCTCAGGGTGCACACTCCCTAGGAACTGTCAGTTCCTGTGCAATGGGTCTAGAGGTTCTGAGGCCTTAGAGTCTCTGGGAATTTCACCAGGATCTCTAGAATGTTGCTGTCTTTTAAAAAATGCAGACTCTTTTTTAAAAAAATTTATTTTATTTAAACAGTTATTCATTTAATTTGCATACCGACCGCAGTTTCCCTTCCTTCCTCTCCTTCCATTCCCTCCATCTGACTCTCCCTCCCCACTCCCTCCCTCTGACTCCCCTTCCCCATCATCCACCCCTCCTCAGTCTCTGTTCAGAGAGGGGCAGGCCTCCCATGGGCTTGAACATATCACAGCACATGAAGTTGAGATAGGACCAATCTCCTCCCCAAGCATCAAGGATGGGTGAAGCAATCCAGCATGGGGAACAGGTTCCTCAATGCCAGCTAAGTGCCAGAGACAGGTCCTGATCTCACTAGGAGACTTACAAACACACCAAACTATACAACTGTCACACACATGCAGAGGTCCTAGATCGGTTCCATGCAGGCTCTCTAATTGTTGGTCCAGAGTTCATGTGCTTTCACAAGATCAGGTCAGCTGTCTCTGAGAACACGAACTCTTAAAGCCAATAGGAAGTCTTTATTTGCTGACTGGAGAGCTACAGGGTAGCTTTCCCAAATTGTGTAACTCTAAGCCTCACCATTCTTTATCTTTTATGCCCCAAAGCTACATCCTGTTTGACACACTTTGGTTAGCAAAAGCAGTTAGCAAGAAGTAAAACTACAGAAGCCAAAAATCAAGTTTAGTACATTTGGGGACTTTTCTAGACCTGGGACTATGGACAAGGTCTTTGATGGATTAGGTCTTTGTTCCTATTTTGGCAGGTGTTGGGGCCTGCATGCTGGGCTCTAAGATTAGAATGGTGCCTATAACATGACATCAGTTTTGCTAAGGTCTTGAGGGTCTACTGAGTCCTCTTACCCAATCAGATCAAAATAACCCCAAATTCCAGAAGGCACATACCAAATTTTGTGATTCCTATGTACAGTATCTGAAGCTCCTAATAGATTTTTTGCTCCAAATGACTTAAGAAGCCTCACCCCTCCAGGTCTGCCACCTGCAACACATACAGCTTCTCTCTTGGGTTTAGGGTGGCTCCACTCCAGACCTGCAGATTTACATGGTCTTAACATCTTCATTACCCTGGGGTCTATGGCAACTGAGACCACCTTCACAGTTCCACAGAGGGACTGATCATGTCACACAATGTCAGTCCTCAGATCCTCTCCATGACCCCCTAAATCTTGCATCTTTTATGCGTTCCGAACTAGTACCATGTGGATAGCACTTACATCCCTAAGCTCTGCTGCCCATTTAAAATGTGGCCTGCCTCTCTTGGACCACAGCTGTATCAGGATCTGAGTGCTGACTTGAGGAGATGCTTCTATTTTATCTCATCGAAGCTTAGAACTTCATTTCAGCGGTGTTGATTTCTCTGACAGTCACAGCTGCGTCTTCAGTCCCAGCCCAATCAGCACACAGAGATTCTCAGCCAAAAACACCACACAGAATGACCAGTTCGCATTCCTAATAAAGTCTTTGATATTCTCTAAAGCCCAATGTGTTTATTCTCAATTATCTACATTTTTTTTTACAGAATTTTTATCTTCCAAGCTCCCATTGAAATGTCCCACCCCTCCATTTCCGAAATACAGTGGCTTTTCTAGCCCAGTGTGTCAAATGCTCTCTCATCCTCCCTAGAATATAGCCCAAAGTGTAAAAGTCATATGGTCAGGTCTACCACAGCAACAATAGCATTTCTTCAGTACCAACTTTTCTTCTGGTTTAATTTCTGTTTCTGTGATAAAATATCCTGACAAAGAGCCACTTGGGAGAAAAGATTTGTTTTAGATCACAACACTAGGTTACGGTCTATCACTGCAGGTCAGGAGCTCGAGACAGCTGGTCACACCATGTCCACAATCAAGAGCAGAGAGAAATGTATACATACATTTCACTTTCTTGTTTGCAGGATCTCTATGGTGGCTTGAATAGGTATGGCTCCCATAGACTCACGTTTGAATGCTTGGGCCGTGGGGAGTGGCACTATTAGGAGGTGTGGCCTTTTTGGAGTAGGTATGGTGCTATTTGGGGAAGTATGTCACTGTGGGGGTGGGCTTTGAGGTCCCATATGCTCAAGCTACCCTCAGTGTGGTATACAGCTTCCTTCTGCTGATTGTGGATCAAGATGTAGAACTCTCAACTCCTTCTCCAGCACCCTGTCTGCTTGCATGTGGCTGTGCTTCTTGCCATGATGAAACAGACTAAACCTCTGAAAATGTAAGCCAGCCCAATGAAATGTTTTCCTTTATAAGAGTTGCTGTGGTCATAGTGTCTCTCCACAGCAGTAGAAACCCTAACTAAGGCAACCACTAGCGTCTGAAAGTATGGTTCCCAATTCCAAGCCTAGATTTAGGCGAGCGCCTCTTCATGTCTTAGTTTTGCTACCTGTGCAGTGGGGACAATGATCTTGCCTGCTGCGCTGGGCTAGGAGAGATGTAGGTGGTTTTTGTGACATGTTGTACCCAGGGTATGGCAAATAATCAATGCTAGTGGTTAGCAGAGGATGCAGCTTGGAAGCTGGCCCTCTCAGGGACTTCCTTAGCATTCATGATTGTAAAATCAAAATATCAGCTCTGAAAAATGTTGAAGATGATTTGTGTCCTTCAGTACCAATACTCAGCCAAAATTTAATTCTTTATGTGAAAATTCTCAAGCACGTCCACTTTCTTAGCACGCAATCCTGCTTTCCTCACTGAGAGACAGCGAACATTGCTTGGTGTTTTGACAGCACAGGGGGTCTTTGCTGTTAATAAGGGAGAGTGCCGTGTGTGTACATCTGACAACTTAGGGATGTGTCATCTGTTCTAGACTTTTACACCCAGGTTAAATCTGCCAGATTTTCACTTCAGTGGTGATTCATAAGT